TCATCGAACATTTGTATAACACTTAAAAACGCGTTTACCTTATTTTAGTAATCTGTATCCAATCACGAGATATAAACCCTCAAATTTACCTAATAAACAAAAATAAAGTCTCCGAATTTATGTTACAACCCAATACTTTCAAAAGAAATTGGTTTTATTGATGGCACTCCAGGAAAAGGATCTTCTTATGTAGCAGCGTTGCGCGATGATAAAACCTTCCTAGAAGTCCGACACTGAAGCAAAAACAGTCATTCGTATAGCATGAGTAAAGTATAACAAGTTGCATCGAATGACGTTTCAACAAACGTTCCGCGATAATTTTAAAAAAAGTGTCTGAACAGTAACAGCATTCAGCTTTGACAAGCTGATTCCCCTTCTACTTGATTAACATGTGATCAGTTTTTCAAGCTAAAAGGCCATTATAGATACTAAAGCTTTCATGCTTTTGAATCGATACTTCAAAACAAAAAAAATGCACATTTTTCAATATTATTTGAATTTTAATGTTTTCACAAAGAGAAACTTTTATTATAAAACTTTACAATTGATATATTTATCACATCTTTTGTACTTCATATTCGTATTCTTCAATCATCATCCGATGTCTCTTCTTAACAGCTATTATCTGTTCATGCACTACAGGATATTCACTGATGATCTTAATGAATTTATACACAGTTGGTAGATTGATATTTTCTTGAATCGATTTCTTTTTGTTCATTCGTTGTTCATATTCATTTGCAAGTTTCGACAATTCTTCGCACAATTGTTTATTAAAATTATTTGATATTTTAATTTCACAGGTATATGTTTCTTCAGCAATCATTTCAACCAAACCATTCAAAAATGGATCATCTTTTGTAGAATAGGCTGTATGAATGAGAAAATGAGCGAATTCAACACTCGCATGAGACAGTGCAGTTAATCTCTCAACCATTGCATTTTGAACATCATGGAAAGTATTATTCAAACGTGTATAGCTGAGAGCATAGTCGATTGTAACATGTTGATCAAGAGAACACATGCACATAAGACAACCATTTTTTTCAATCGCATGTGTACGAGTAGAAAAAATCCAAAATTCAGCAACTTGTTCAAGATCACCTTTACACGAAAGACACCGAGTAGCTCTTGAGTGGAGAGGTTTTGCATTTAGTTTAATGAATTGATTCAATGTATTCTTCCATAGAATAATATTGCGAAGAGTGTTCCTCATTGTTTCTAATATAGGTCGAATCATATAAGAAATTTCGAATTGAGCATGTTTAATTGTTTGCCATTCATTCTCTATACGATATTCAGTGAGTTCTTTATTAATATAATCCATTAAACGATTGGATTCTTTTACTGACGTTGACCAACTCATTTGATATTCTTCCTTTTCTTCATCGGCAAACGGAATTCCATTTTGTAAAGCAACTAAATATCGAAATGCTTCACTATCAAAACAATATGTATTCTCTTTCTTGAAAGAAATATTATCCATTGAAGCTGATACAAGCATAGTTTTGAGTAATGAAGCTGTATTTCCCGGTGTATAAAATGTTGATCGTGCATTAGTAAAACAAAAGATAATATTATTCGAAGCTGTTGAACCAAGAAGAGAAAATAATTGAATAAGACATGTACGAAAAAATATATGTAATCGTGATGTATTTGGTTTGAGAAGAAAACAAATAGCATTCAAATGTGTAACATTATTGATGTATTGTAAAATATGTTCCATATTTTGATCATCTTGATCAAGACCTCGTGTATCACCAAAACCGGGCGTATCAATAATGCGTACCTTTCTTCGATTATCATCTTCATTACGCTTAAGATCAAATGTATAAGATTTACAATGTTGTGTTATCGATTGTCCTAGAGTGTTGACATTTTCATTGTCAAAACGATCGAGTTCGCCAAATTTGACTATTCGTTCTTCAAAATTATCACCAACTGTCATCACGAATGAAACAGGAATGATTACGATAGGTTCACTTGATTCGGCTTGTTCAAATGAATCGAACGTAAGATAATTGGCAAAAGCGTTGATAAAGGTTGATTTACCAACACCAGTTTCACCAAGAAGAAGAATATTAATAGTTTTATCATTTGGTACTAACACTGATTCAGATGGTACTGGTAAAAATCGAGGAGTGGGAGGGCCACTAATTTGAGAGAATACTTGCTGCTTCGAATGATTTTCGCTATAGTCAATTTCATTGGACGGTAATATTATCATGTCCTGGAGTCGAAACGAAGAATAAGAAAAATCAGCATAGATAAGGCGTAACGTCAAATTACTCCTCTGTTTTTCACGTAATATTCGACGAAAGCCCTTAAGTTTTGACGGATTGTTTTCATTTAGATTATCATTGGAACAGAGAATCAGCTTACGTCGATCATTACTTACAAGCTTGCGTTCAATCGTTATTATATTATCATTTTTGTCGATGTTATATTTAGCTGCATTCTTATATTCAAATTTTTGCTGCCACAAATCTGTAATCAAATGCCCTTTTATTTCTAAGTCACTAATCTTCCGAATTAATTCTTGAATATCCTTTTTCATTGTTCGTTGTACATGATCCTGAAGTGCTTGATTGATTTCGCGAGTTTTCTCAAGATCACTGCGGGCATCAATTACTAATTTAGAAAATTGTTGAATTTTATTCATATATATACTTCTCAGGCTGAACCATTGAGTATAAGCTTTCTTAAGTTTCTCGAAGAAATGTACATTCAATAAATTAGGTATATGTTCATCCAGAGATATGCCGGCAAATCTTAACAAATTTCTCAATTGAAGTAAATTTTGTTCAATACTGTCTGTGACTAAGCAAGGTGAGTCTAAATTGGTCGACTTTTCTCGTTTGTAAAGGATACAGTAACGTAATACTTGTTCTTCTATCAGGTGAATATAAGGTTGCGACCGATCGAAGAGTATAGCTTAATGGGTGAAAATATTTTGAGTACTTTTTGAAACTATAGATTTCAAAAAAAAGATCCGAAATGTTGAATGAACAAGTTAAATTAGATATATTTGAGTAAATTTTTGTATTGAAAGTTTTACCTAATAAAGCGTCGTCTTCACAAGTAAGCGTCAACATGCTCTTTTCTTCTCTCAGAAGCTGATCACGAATTTTTTCCAGTATTCGATCGATCTTATTGGTAATGGTATCTTCTCTTGGTAACTGAAAAACAATAACAGCATGGATTCCAAAACTTATCGAAGTAATCATATGAGTAGCATTAAGTAGAGCATTCCATATTGCCATGTTTTCAAGGATCCATGCCTCATTTTCAAGAAATTGTTGTTTACCGTAAGTCCAAGAATAGTATAAGAAGCGAGTGTACTGATCTATACGATGAGGATAATTAAGAACTTCTGCTATTCCAGATCGTTTCGTTAAATTCAACAATAAACTTAGCCGTAATTCTGGTTCAATACCAATACATTCAAGAACATTGAAGCTTGAATCCACAATGCCGTTTATAATTTTACATTGTACTGATTCAGATGACTTTAACAATTGTTTTTGAATGTATTGGT